GCGCAAACAAGCGAAGCCCCATCCATGGGATACAGGCAGTACACAAAACCATGTCCCATCCGGTCCACGTAAAAAACTCTTTCCATGGAACCGGTCTCTGGTGCACAAAAGGTTGGGGCCTGCTAGCATAGGTCAACTTTTTTGAAGTGAAGCACCTGCTTCCTACATGGAAAGGTGTGTGGCATCAATTTTACAAGCAGCTTGGGTAATTGCTTCTGCCAAAAAATCCTCTAATATGATGCTGAAATTAATAAAAAATAGATGATATGAACTGATACTGTATTAGAAGATTCTGTTGTCTTCCTAAACAGTGCATGAGAGCAGCTCATACGTGCCTGCATTACTCAATATTCGTTTATATTTGGGATTTGTAAATAATTCTAAGCAAACAATCGACACTGACGTGCTTAGGGTTTTGATGTCATATTGACCTTTTGGATCTAAAATCTTCTCCCACTGTCTTGGAACTTTTGTTTTTTTTAAAAGTCCTACGTTAGTTTTAATTATTGTGCCAAAGGTGATTCTTTGGGAGGGAGTGAGATGGGAAGATTTAATCTTTAACCCTCTTCATAGACTTGCTCTTAACATTGCAAATCTTAATCCAACAGTTAGCCTAAAATGGGAGACACAGCTATTTGTAGGAATGGGGATTTGTTCCTAAACTGGGTTACCCATGAGGAAAAAGAATCTGTTTCACCCTGAGCTTTAGCTGAAACTTGCATTGTGATTTTTTACAATTACAATTACAATGACAGTCGCTGACAGTTGGGCAGTGTATACATTTATTATTGTTGCTGCCGCTGCTGTTTGTTTTTTTGTTTTTGTTATAAATAGCCATAGTTGTCTATGCACAGATTTATCGTTGTGTGCTTCTCTTATTTTTATGTATAAGACAGGAAAGTGATTTTCTTCTCATTCTTTTCCTAACTTACACAGGTAGCTGTTCTGCAAATGTCACCACAAAGAAATGGATTTCTTTTGTTTTGTTTTTTTTGGTGGTCTCTTTAAACTGACGAGGTTTTCGCTTCCAACCTGTCATGGAAAAGCTTTAGATGTCTTGTGATGTACTTAAAAGCACTTGCAAAAATGGTTGATGTACCTCTGCAATTTATTCCATGTTGATGAGTGCTTTGAACAAGAACATCCTTCAGCTGTCACCTTGAGGAATGTGATGGCGCTTAATTCATTTTATTCAGTAATATTCAAGACTATTGGGCTTTTTCAGTCAGTTGTCTGGACTGCTTACCTGCTGTACCTGCACATAATTCAGTGGAAAAAAGAGTTAATGAGCCAGAATAATCTGAGAGCTTTTTTGGAGGGGGGGGAGGGAAAGAGTAAAAGGAGTTGATTCTAGCGAGACTCTTACTGGGTTTAATATGTAACATGACCTTGTCTGAGTCCACTCATCACTGCAATTAATCTACTTTATGTTGTAGGAATGTAAGATCAGTGGCATTTTTCAGGAAACAAAACAGCACCAATTGCTGTTGCTAAGAATTGAAATTAAATCTGACACTTCTTCTTAACCACAGCAATTTTCATTGTTGAGTTGGTGCCCTCTAAATGTGTTGGGCTTTAATTGACCCTATAATTCTTTAACAGTGGCTCTACTTGCCAGGAATTATGGGTGTTGAAATCTAGTACACTCTTGAGAATGTGAGTATATGATTTTGCATTTAGTTTCTGAGTCTATATTCTGTAAGCTTATTCTGTTTCAGTGAAGGTAGGATGGCCATATAAAATTGGTTTGTATGGTCAGTAAGTCAGTAAAGAAATCTGTCAAGGTCTTTCATAAATTTATTTTGTTAAATATGTAATCTGAGTATGACTTTTCTATTTTTCAAATAAAAAAGGCTAGTACATATAGGATTTATGACTACAATTGAGCCCATAATTTCTGTTGTTAAGTGAAACATTTGTTAACTGAGTTTTGCCCCATTTTATGACCTTTCTGCCACAGTTGTTAAGTGAAACACTGTGGTTGTTAAGTTAGTAACATGGGTGAATATGGCTTCCCCATTGACTTCGCTTGTCTGAAGGTTGCAAAAGTTGATGAAAAGACCCCATAACATGGCAACCATCATAAATATGAGTCAGTTGCCAGGTGTCTGAATTTTGATCACATGACTAGGAGGATGCTGCAATGATTGTAGATGTGAAAAATGGTTATAAATCACTTTTTTCAGTGCCATTTTAAACTTTGTACGGTCATTAAACTAACTGTTTTAAGTCAAGGAGTACATGTAGTTGATTTTTCTTGTCTGTAAAAGTATACAGTGTTTGCTTGATTTTTAGGAAGCTGGACATGTAAATAGTGTTCTTGATTTAGGTTTC